TTATATTTTCTTTTTCCTGATGAAATCAAATAATGAAATAGGAATTATATTGAAATCTAAAAGAGAGGGTGTAATGGCCAAGCCCACCGCTAGCAGATATTGTCCTCTTTGGGCTTTCTCTTACGAGCTTTCCCTCAAGTTTTTTTAAAACGCATCTGTTAGGAAGAGGTTTCCACACCCTTATAAAGAATGCTTCGTTCTCCTCCCCAACCAATGTGAGATCTCACAATCCACCCCCTTCGATGCCTAGTGTCCTAGCTGGCACTCATTTCCTTCTCCAATCGATGTGGGACCCCCCAATCCACTCCCTTTGGGGCCCAGCGTTCTTGCTAGCACACCACCTCGTGTCCACCTCTTCGTGGCTCAGCCTCCTCATTGGCATATCGCCCGGTGTCTGACTCTGATACCATTTGTAATGGCTCAAGCCCACCACTAGCAGATATTGTCCTCTTTGGGCGTTCCCTTCCGAGCTTTCCCTCAAGATATTTAAAACGCATATGCTAGGGAGAGGTTTCCACACTCTTATAAAGAATGTTTCGTTCTCCTCAACTGACGTGGGATCTCACAACGGGAAAAAAGAACTTGGGACAACTCCACCAAGAGCACACTCAAACTCTAACTTATTTGCTGATGGATTATAAACGTCCAATACCATCTTGCTATTGTTCTACTTAAGCGACAGCTTCCTAAAAGGTGTGGGTAAAGGAATTATATTTGAATGACATACTCTTGTCTGAATCACAAGTGCATTCAGCTCCAGAACCATATCAAAAGTATCTTAGAGCAGAGACATAAGTTCAACATTATCACCTTTGTTATAACAAGGACCTTTCGAAACATAAATGGTTAGTGTTTCTTGTTTCAGGAATAAAAAAAAAAATCACTTTTTCCCATCATAGACAGTCATATCTGTTCCAGATGACTAGATGAGGTTGAAAGCCCAGAAGACTCCACTACCAGATAATCAACGATCTAACAAAGCCAACAAAAGCAAGTAGCTAATAAACAAATGAAGAAAAGTTTTCTAACCTTTAGATTTTGGGGTTCAAGTGTTTTGAGATATTCCAACAGTTCATTTTGCCCTTGTGAAGATTTTCTACCTACTTGACGATTCAGTTCCTCTATCTCTGCTTCAAGTAATTCTATGTACCTTTTAGCATCAATTTTCTCGGGACCAGATACATTATTCCACCTGATAACTTCACCTGTGACATTCTTTTGTGTACCAGCAGCATAATTCGAATCATCCTGACAATCACCAGATTAAAGCAAATTACATAAAATTTAAATAAAAGCCAAACACATTTGCCACATGTAAATTTGTCTTCATCAGAGAAATTCGTAATGAAATTTTATATGAATGTTTGGCACTAAGTGGCCTGATTGTAACAGAACAGTGACAAATTAGGAAGAAAAAAAAGGATCCTTGAACTACAGAACCCATCACATACCTTAAGCCTTGGCCATGATTTTATTAGAATGGAGTAAAAGCATAATGCTAGTTCACTTGCAGAGCTTTAAGAGTGAAACTTAAAGCAGAGTAAGGAACCAACAGACTGCAGAGCAAAGCTTTTAATAAATATTCAACATCATTCCCTACTGTACCTGCTGTGTTTAAAACTCCGCAAAGCATGAACTTCAACCACAAAGCATGAACAAAACAAAAGTCAAAATAAAAATGATTTTGCCTAAAACAAAAACTACAATATGGAATATGTAGTAATGTAGAAGTAACATATGTGATATAGCCAAGGTCAATATAACTGATTCTGGTTCTTAAATAAATGGTAACGTGTAACAATCATGTAATCGTTGCATGATGGTAAAGTTGAAAAGAGATCAGGATGCCGAGGCCACGTCTCTAGCAACCTTAAGTCAATTCATGAAAAGGAATAGAACATTGTGGTCATATCACTTTAGGAACCCTGACTTTCGGGATGAGTAGGCCAAACCGAACTATGATTACACTTACAATAAAACAATAAGCAAGGGACAAACGAAGTTTTCATGACATTGATTGTCATCGATGCAGATCGGGCTTCTATTCCACAGTGAAGTAACAGATGCACAGTATAAAGACCGAGAGTATTTAATTAATTCTTGTGGACGAGCAAAGTAATAGGCGAGGTTAACTCCAAAATGAAAATATTCGGACGTAAAATCCTTCAAGAACTATATAAAACCATTTAAACTACCTTTTCATTCTTAGGTTCTGGGAGAGCAACCTGCTCTAAACTTTGCTGCAGTTCTAAGCGATATTGAGCGTTTTTAAACATATATCCCGTCATCATTACACTGTACATGAGCTGTGCAAGATTTTCAGCAACCTGAACCAAATATTAAAAATTAAACATGGTTGTATAGTAAATAAATATCTAAACATTAAACTCGTTCTTACCGAATATCAAATGAACAACAAATATTTGGGTGACTTTGAAAGTAAGAATAACAAAAGTATTCTATACGTACTGTGGTGACAGTAACTGCAAAAAACTGTGGAGGTAGAGTTCCAATCATATTTGTGACTGTTTGGCGCATTGCTTCAACAACCTATAAAGGAATCAGACAAGTTCAAAATTATCAGAAACAGTCATGGAATTGACAATAAAAGTAAGCTGAATCCTACAATACAGAAATTAGTATTGATTCCAATGGAGATCCACCTGTTGTGGTGCCCTCTGAACAAATAATTCCATGAATTCTGGCTGGACATTTTTAACATATTCCAGCAGAATGTCTCTCCGGGTTTTTGGCTGTCAATTCCATAAAAGATATTCAAAGAATTAAAGAAAGTACGATCTAGAAAACATAAAGAGAACTAAATTAATATAACAGCCATCAGGTTCCTCGTGATGATGAAAAAAAACCCATCTAAACTAATTAAAAATAAAACTAAAAATCATAATCAACAATTTATAGACAGTACTACTGTTCCCGGTCCTACTTTTTCAACCGTACAGCATCATAATCTTGACATGCTCACAAACAGTCGTAAGGGGAATCAAGCCCCATATATAATTTTCGTCTTGGCTTTGTGGCTTCATTGGACTTTAGGCGAGGTTTGTCTTCGCCAACCGAACATCGTTGTGTGAAATCCAAGCTTGTTCATCCTTGGCCTAGTGTAGAGGCAAGTCGGACAAGCTTGGATTCCTCACCAGCGATGTTTGGTTGGCGAAAACAAACCACGCCTAAGATCCGATAAAGCCACAAAACCAGAGCGAAAAATATATATGGGGCTTGATTCTCCCTGGTCGTGTCAAGATTACAATGCCGCACGGTTAGAAAAGTAGGACCATCACAACCACACCACTTAATGTCTGGTATCAAAAGTAAAAGCTCCACAAGGAATTGAATATAGCATACATAATTCCAATGTTCACCATCGATATGTAAAAGAAATGTAATCTCACAATTATCTGTTAAGTTCCAATACTTTGAACAAACAAGATCCATTTTGAAAAACATTCGCTCGGACTATTCCACCAAATACAATACAGTACACCCAAAAGCCTACATTACTCGAATCCTTCAAACTTTCCCAAATTTCCGTAGACATTTTAACAACATACCCATTGGCTATATAATCCATAAGCTACGAAAAAAGGCAGAGAAGCAAAGAGGGAAAGGGGAATACCAAAGTACCGTTGGGAAGCTTGGAATCGCCAGAAGAGGCATCGGCACTGTCGCTCTTGGAAGAGTTGTAAGCACGAAGGCGCAACGCAACACCATACCTCAGCTTCCTTGGAAAGGAAATTGGAGAGATGCGAGGAAAAGTAGACGAAGATGAAGAAGATGATGAGAGAAATGACAGTTTAGAAGTGGGAAAGGAGGGTTTTAGAGTCAACGAAGACATGGTATAGCTCCGTGGTAGAAATCTGTAAGAAGGAGAGATTGATCAAAGTAGAGTTGGGGCTATTGAGGAATAGAGCTCTGAAAACCTAAAATGGTGAAAATGATCGCCATTAAAGAGGTAACGTTGGGAGCTTATCTCGTGGGAAGGGGCCGTGAAATGGTAATGCACCAGCCGGCAGCAGCGCTGATAGAGTCCTGCGCGAGGTGGGGCTCGCACGTTTTTTATTTATTTATTGTTAATTATAAAATATAGGATATAATTATATATTACATGTATTTATTTAATTATGTATTACATATATTCATATTCAGTTGTATAATTACATTATTTATTATCTAACTATTCTTTAAAATAATTTTTAAGTATTTGGTATGCAATTTAAAAAAAATGAATTGTAAATTTTAATTAAATATTTGAAATAAAATAAATAAATGTTTTACGTACTAATATTTTATTTTTGTTAAAAATAAAATTTTAAATTGATAATCTAAACAATTTGCATTTTATCTAAAAACTAAAATTAATTTGAATTTATTTTTTAAAAGTATTGACAATTTTAGTAGTAGTTTTTAATTATTTTTTTTAGTTTAAAAGTATTTTAAAATTTTAAAAAAATTTATAAATATTTTATAGAGGTATTTTTATTAATTTAAAAAAATTAATTATTGGGTATCTAATTATTTTTCTTTCCTACCTTTAATCATAAATATTAGCGATCTCATCAGAAAAATGTACAAATAATTCATAGACATGACTCACACTTTATAACCAATAAAGTAAAATTACCATATTACCCTTCTAAAAAGGTATTAAATTTTTCATCCTCATTCTCGTCAATTCATCTCTGTTCAATCTTCTTCTGAATCCTGATGAACCAGGAAACTAAACCGAGGATAGATCCAAAATGATGGAGCAAAAAACTATTCATTGGTTTGCAGAAAGGGATAAACTACAGGAGTTCGATCAACTTCATATTGATCTTGTCAAATCTTGGAGACATTGGCCACAAAATTCTCGATATTGAAAATGATTTAATGCGTTTCAATTAACCTGTAATAGTTGCATTGGGAGTTGTAGATCTAGTAATGAGAGTGAGCAATCCAATGATCCAATGACAAACGCTCTGAGCTAAATAGTTCAAGAACTCAACTCAGCTCAACTCAAGAAATTGATAACATTAAAGAATGAATAAACGTAGTTCTTCACGATGAAATCAGATTTAGAAACAAAAAATTCCTAAGCGACAAAACCAGATATGATGAGGCTCTTCATTGTGGAGGCAATTCTTGAGGTGGTTCTTCCTCGGTCGGAGCAGATGGAGTCGATCCGAAGTCGAGATTTGGGTAGACACCAGGTGGTCTCTCTCGAGCTTTTATCGACAGTAACTGACTGGAGTCACCAACTACATCCGCCCATCCATAGTGAGGTTCAGCCCTTCAAAGAAAGTGCAAGCTTATTAAAATGACATTGATCCTTAAAGCTTGTAGATAAGATGAACTTAGCCCTCAGACAACTTACTCATAATATGTTTCTTCATCCACAACAATGTCCCAACTTTCCCCTGTCGTGCTCTTCCCATATTTGTGCACTTTACTGTTTACAGAATGATGCGATTATTATTGGCTAGCAATTAAGAACGCAAAAGAGATTGTCCATATATAACGTGACTCAATGATGCATGATACAGTCAGCATGGTGATCAGATATGCTTTTCTAAGAAACGTGAAGGAGATTATCCATATATAAAGTGACTCAATGATGCGTGATACAGTCAAAATGGTGAACAGATATGCTTCTCTAAGAAACGTGAAGGAGATTATCCATATATAAAGTGACTCAATGATGCGTGATACAGTCAAAATGGTGAACAGATATGAGTCTCTAAGAAACGTGAAGGAGATTATCCATACATAAAGCGACTCAATGATGCGTGATACAGTCAAAACGGTGATCAGATATGAGTCTCTAAGAAACGCGAAGAAGATTATCCATATATAAAGCGACTCAATAATGCGTGATACAGTCGAAATGGTGATAAGATATGCTTCTCTACGAAACGTGAAGGAGATTATCCATATATAAAACGACACAATAATGCCTAATACAGTCGAAATGGTTATAATATATAGCCATAATGCCATCAGCTTGAAGCTTACCCATTTCCAAAGTGTTCTTCACCCCATGTTCTTGACCAACCTTGTACATGTGAAAGGAAGGCAGTTAGTTCCATTTCTCTCGTAACCAACAGAAAATGCAAACACAATGAACGATTTAGCATAAATATTTTCAGATGAAAGCTTTAGTCATGTAGTGACCAGGAAAAAAGACCAAGGTGGTTGGCTGCCCCACATGCTTAATTGAGTGAAAGAAGATAAAGATCACAATGATTTAAACAACAAGATGGCATTCTTAGGAGAAATTATGAACATTAACCACAAACATGACAGTTTGATTTCATGAGTATCTAACCATTGAAGGAATTCGTAACTACCGGTTGTCATAAAAGATGCTGTAACGGCCCAAGCTCACCGCTAGTAGATATTGTCCTCTTTGGGCTTTCCCTTTTGGGCTTCCCCTCAAGGTTTTTAAAACGTGTTTGCTAGGGAGAGGTTTCCACACCCTTATAAAGAATGTTTCATTCTCTTCCCCAATCGATGTGGGATCTCATAATCCAGCCTCCTTTGGGGCCCAACATCCTCGCTAGCACTCTTTCTCTTCCCTAATTGATGCGAGACCCCCCATTCCACCCCCTTTAGTGCCCAACGTCCTTGTTGGCACACCGCTTCATGTCCACCTCACCTCGGGGCTCAGCCTCCTTGCTGGCACATCGCCCGGTGTCTGGCTCTGATACCATTTTTAACGGTCGAAGCCCACCGCTAGCAAATATTGTCCTCTTTGGACTTTCTTTTTTGGGCTTCCCCTCAAGGTTTTAAAACGTGTCTACTAGGGAGAGGTTTTCACACCCTTATAAAGAATGCTTCGTTCTTCTCTCCAAGCGATGTGGGATCTCACAATCCACTCCTTCCCCTTCGGGACCTAACGTCCTCGCTAGCACTCATTCCCTTCTCTAATCGATGCGGGACCCCCAATCCACACCCTTTTGAGACCCAACGTCCTTGCTGGCACACCGCTTCATGTCCACCCCTTTTAGGGCTCAGCCTCCTCGCTGGCACATCTCTTGGTGTCTGGCTCTAATACCATTTGTAACGGTTCAAGCCCACCGCTAGCAAATATTGTCCTCTTTGGACTTTCCCTTCTAGGCTTCCTCTCAAGGTTTTAAAACGCGTCAGCGCGAGGGAGAGGTTTCCACAACCTTATAAAACAGAATGTTTCATTCTCCTCTCCAACCAACGTAGAATCTGATAGATGCACTTATTAATTAAAAGTGACACTTTCCACCACCGTTTTATAGTGAATTACCCAGCTAACAGACAAAGCTTTAATCTCGAGCACCTTTTTTAGATGTTTGAGAAAGTCACATCAGTCCCTAAACGAGCAAAATTTAGTTTTCTTCATCACATAAAGCTTACTCATATCATTGCCTTCGTTTAGTTTTTTATAAGCTCTAGATTTTGGAACTTGGGACCATAAAGCCAGACCGATACTTAGTGCGTAAGTTCGCTTGTCCGACACCATGAGTTTGCTAATCTTACCGACTACACAAACTCAGCCTTTGAAACCCAATCATGAACCTCTGATAAACCAAACTCAAAGTTGCATAAACTAAAGTTTTTGATGCTCAATCTTACCTAGAAACTAAACAACACAAGCTACATAAACTAAGCTTCTCTAACACATTTCAATAACAATTCGAATATAGGATCAAACTACTGAACTTTTAACTTTTTAATATGAATCCTAATATGAAGAAGAATTAAAAATGTTTTATAGTTTCGACAGAACGAGGGGTTCACGTTAAATGGCCGAAAAAAAAAAAACAATTTCAACCAACCCACAAACAAAAGGTTTCCATTATTTTCACTTGAACTAGATCAATTAACCAATTTTATCTCCCAAAATTCAATGGAAACACTTGATTTAGATGAATTGAAAATGATGCTACATTAGACTTACGTTCACTACTAGGAGATACGTGCCACGTCTCCCCTTGTCGGGAACCAATTCCAGAAAAGAACTTATCTTCCCACTTATCTCCCCATTTTGTACCTAGTTCAGTTTCAGCCCACTTATCCGTCCTGAGAGGTAAAAAAGCACAAAAAATAGAACTGTTAGCATCCTAGAGCTATTTGAAGAACCTTTAACATTCAAAATTTGAAGCAGAACAAAGAAAGTAGCTTAGGTTCTTCGTGTATAATAGCATAAGAATGAAGTTGATTCTAACATTTTTAGTTATAATCAATATCTGAAAACTTTTCAAGTGACACAAAATTAACACCAAATAAGACCACTTGTGCATCCACCAAAGTGTTCTGATTAAGGAAAAGAAATATGTCTAATTGATATAAACAAAGCCCAAGCCCACCGCTAGCAAATATTGTCTGTTTTGGCTCGTTACGTATCGTCATCAACCTCACGGTTTTTAAAACGTGTCTACTAGGAAGAGGTTTCCACACCCTTATAAGGAATGCTTTGTTCTCCTCTCCAACCGAGGTGGGGTCTCACACATAATCAATGGGATAACGTATTGTGTAATTGTATAATCCATAAATGATGCATGGAATATGTTGAAAACAATGTGAACAATGATTAGAGAAAACCATTTAAGAACGGATCCCCTTCCGTCGTAATGCTCTCCCCACTTCTCCCACCATGACTGTTCGTTCAATCTACCGTATTTATGTGCTCCTTTCTCAGTCCATCCTTTGGCGTCGTATTTTTCCCACCTGTATCACTTAAACTAATTACGACTTCGCGAACTACAAACCGAGTTACCATAACTTCAATTGCATTGAATATGATCTCACCATTTCTCATGCCATCCAGCATTTTCAGTGCCAGATTTTGCTTGTTTCTGTGCACTCCTCTCAATCCTTGCAAGATTACTGCACCATCGGAATTGCAGAGTATTTATTTAACTTGGTAAGAAGTGATCTCCTCAACATTATTGAGCAAGTGTACTATAATAGTAAAAGAAACCTCCATTCATCTTGATGAAGAACTTCTTGCCATGTTTCCCACCATGAATCACCTTCGACATTTCTACCCGATTTTTCCACTCCTGTTAGAGAATGTAAATTTCAGTCAGGACAAGCAAGATTGAATTCAGTGAGTAAGAGCAAGATAGAAGAAGCTAAAAGAACAGACGACGAATGATAATGATCGGTATCTAGCAAATTTCTCATCACACAGTTAAAAAGCAAGGGCAAAAGCATTTTGCGTTTCCAGAATAAATACTAAACACATAGATGATGAATAATTATCAAATTTCACATGTTTAAATTTAAAGCTACATTAACCATCAGTTCTTGACAGTCGAGTAAATATCTATATTGATCTTATTGCTTGGACATTACATGATCTAGCTGTTTAGAGAGAGCGGAAGTATGAGATCCCACATTGGTTGAAAAGGGGAACGAAGCATTCCTTATAAGGGTGTGGAAACCTCTCCTTAGTAGGCGTGTTTTAAAATCTTGAGGGGGAACCCCAAAAGGGAAAGTCCAAAGAGAGCAATATCTGCTAGCGGTGGGCCTGGACTGTTACAAATGGTATCAGAGTCAGACACCGAGCGGTGTGCCAACAGGAACGTTGGGCCCCCAAGGGGGGTGGATTGTGAGATCCCACATTAGTTGGAGAGAGAAACGAAGCATTCCTTATAAGGGTGTGGAAACCCCTCCCTAGGAAACGCATTTTAAAACCTTGAGGAGAAACCCGAAAAGAAAAGCCCAAAGAGGACATTCTTTTCTGCTCTCTCCAGAGAGATAGATTCTGTAAGCGTCCAAGCAATAAGATCACTATAGAGAAAGATTCTCTACAGGATCAATTCACTCTAGGATAAGGTAAGTTACAGTCTCTTCTGCTCTCTCCAAAGAGCTAGATCCCGTAAATGTACAAGCAATAAGAGAATGTGGGCATAACCAATGACAGATTAGAAAAAAAAAAACATGTAAAGTACCTAGCTCTTTGTATCCAGTCCAGTCACTTTTCTCCCACCACTGTCAATGAGATCAATAAATCCATTAAATGCAGTCACCTGGGATAATACTCTTTGGAGTTATAAAAACAATGTCAAAGTGGCAGCAGATTAACAACATTTTACGATGCTTGGTTTTTAGCATGATTTCCACATTACATAAAGTTCATTCAGAAGTTAACTACTAACCACTAACCAGAAAATGGAGGAATTTTCATAACTGGGTTGGGTCGTAACTGTTATTTTATTTTAAAGAAACATACAATTCAAATATTACCTAGAGAGTTATTGTGATGTCCCACATTGGTTGGGGAAGAGAACAAACCACCATTTATAAGGACGTGGAAACCTTCCCCTAGAAAGGGAAAACCCAAAGAGGACAATATCTGCTAGCGGTGGATCTGGGTCATTACAGTTATACTCATGACCAATGTCCCAAGTTCCGAACCAACGCCCTCCAAATTAGTATGCCATTTAGGTACACTACAAGGCATCGGATAGGATAGAATAATAAAAGGATATAAAGAGTTTACATCGTAGTAGTCTAGATTTTCACCATAGGGCTTATATACGGATCATGACCCCCATAATAGCCGCGCCTAAGAAAAGTGTCGGGATATTGATATGAAAGGCCTTATCATCTTAATCTTTCTTACGAAATTGATCCAGAGTCAATTTAACTGTTGATCACCAAAATTTTCTTGAGTGGGGAAACTACATCTCTATGAGAAATAGTTTTTCATCAATATGGACTAAGAAGATACCAAAAAAAGACTAATCTTAAACTCCATCACGATAATGAAGATGAGAATTAAGACAAATATTCATGTCCCAAAATGAAAATCCAATTCAACCTATAGACATGAGACTGGAAAACAACTAATCCAAGTGAGAATAGGTGTTAGACGAACACGACTCTCCACAATGGTATGATATTGTCCACTCTGAGCATAAGCTCTCGTGGCTTTGCTTTGGGCTTCCCCAAAAGGCCTCATTCCAATGGAGAGAGTATTCTTTGTTTATAAACCCATGATCATTCCCTAAATTAGCCGACGTGGGACTTTCATCATCCAACAATAGGAACTCTAACTTGCTTACACAAACATATTTGCACACGAGTGACAATCATTTGCTATGTAGATTGGCCAAGACCACAACCATGGATTATCACAGAGTTTTCCTAGTAAGAGAGTTACAGAATGCTTAAGTTTGCTTAACTCCAGATCGACAACAAAGTCGATAGCACGCAGAAATACTAAATTAATACCGTTTCTTTCCATTCCGAGTAGCCATCATGCGATTGACCGCCCATCCTAGTCCATCTACATCTGTATCCATTATCACCGAGATCCTCCCCGCTTTCCCGATACCAAGTACTGCCATCTTCATTCGTGCCTGATTCGCTAACATTTTCGTTCACCAAATTGATCCCCCAGTCCTTCTCATTTGCAATACCAGTGTCTGCAGCAGATCAGTTGTGTCTAATACTCAGTAAAGATCATTAATCAAACATAAAGCAAAACAGCAATTTCATCTGATGCTGCACAATGATTCTTTTACACTACCTGGGCTAGCTAAGAAATTCCCATAAAGCAATTTAGATTACCTCTTTTTGGCGGAGTATCACGTGATTGTGGACCAGAGCCCCTTGGAGTGCAGCGAGGATAAAATTTTTCTGGCTTGGAAATAAACCGAGATCTGTATAAACAAGAAGATCAAGCAACCCCATGAGGGAATACACATTCCAAAGCCATACATAACTTGCTTAAATCTTGGTCATTAACTTAAACTATTATCCCCATGATTCCAAATCATAAAGAGTGAGCGTCCTTCATCGTTATGCCTAGGTAGAAGAGGTACGAATTAGTCACTCCTTTCACAATTTTCGAACTATTAGATTAACTGTTTGAACCTAATGAATCAAATTGCATCGCACAAAAAAGGGTAAAAGAGAGCAACACAAGAACAAGACAACGGATTATAAAAGTTGGGATTTCCAGTACAAAGCTTCAACTTACTGAGGGGAAGCAAAGGGCATTGCGGGAGTGGCTTGGATACGGAGTCTACGAGGGGATTTTTTGGGATTGAAACGCCAATCTTCTTGCTTCTCAACGTTCTTCCCAGACCCAGCAGTTCTGCGTATTGGAACCAAAGAATCAGAGCAGCAGCAAGTAATAGGACAAAACCCAACTCGATTACTCTCAAACAAAATCCTCCTCCATCTCCGCCGCCGCAGGTCTGGTCCGCCAAGGGTAGGCGAACGAAAAAGCTCGACCCGCCGGTCGAAATCGACGTGGGTCGAAAATCCTCTGCAACAGGCGGCCATTGCTTACAAAAATTCCATGGGCAAGCGCTCAAGCCGCAACAGTGGGAGAGGAAATGTGGGAATGCGAAGGAATACGTGGAAATTCAAGAGAAGAGAGAAGTTGGGAAGAATGTGATGCGGAGAGGCATTTGAAAAATGGGAGAGGCGGAGAGAGAGGAGGAGAGAAATTGAGGGGGCGGAGTTATCAGATCGGAGGTGGTTCGGCGAAGGGAGAGGAAATTCGGAGATTTAATCAAACACGTGAGCAGGGGAAAAGGGTCCCACAAAGGGTGATTATGCATCCGGAATTTCCAACTCGACAGTCCACGTGGCACAAACTGAGCCGTCACTTCTGTTACTGCTGACTAAGCTTCTACTCACAAACGGGAAATTTAGATCCAATTACCTAAATAGCATATGGTTGTTATTTTATTAAATTAATAATTTTAAACGTTTATATATACGTTTAAAATATTCATTGTATTTATAAGACTCGATAATCTGACTAACTCGAACTATCCAACCTAAACCATTAAAAATCGAAAATTTTGGTTCGGTTTGAGTTGGATAGTTCGAGTTGGTCGAATTATCGGCATGCACGTTGACATTTTTATGGTCGGGTCAACCTTACCGACCTAAAAATAGTATGACAACCCAAGAATATTTACCGTATTATTTTTGTAAATATTTGATATTTGAATTTTATGAGATTTTAGTTATTAATTTAAGATAACTAATATTTTTTAATTAAAAAAACAACGGGACAACTCAACCAAACTTAAAAATAGAAGGTTTAATTGAATTGGGTTGGTTCGGTTTGAGTTGGATAGTTCGAGTTGGTCGAATCATCGGCTTGCAGGTTGACATTTTTATAGTCGGGTCAACCTTACTGACCTGAAAATAGTATGACAACTCATTCCTACCTTACTGTTTAATAAACTGATAATATTTAATGCATTGTTTTTGTAAATATTTAATTAAAAAAACAACAGGACAACTCAACCAAACTTAGAAATAGAGGATTTGATTGAATAGTGTCGTGGATTTTATTTTGATTGTTCAAATCACCGACCAGTTATTTAAAATTTTGAGTTGGTTCCAAAGATTTTTTCAACCCAACTAATGGGTACATGTTCGCCGCTAAGTCAGGGTCTTATACTTTAAATTTAATTCATTTCGATTCATGTACTTTAAAATGTTCATTTTCACGGACCGCTTTGGTCCTTTTTTTATTAAAATTTTAACATTACACTCCACTCACTATTTAGCCATAAATGGTCGTGTATTAAACGTAAATGGTCCTTTCTAATGTATATAATTTTGCAAATATGGACCAGTAGAGTAATAATCAACGTCGTTAAACTATACTTTTAACAAATAGAGTCGAGATGTTAACCCTACAACCACATGATGGTTTGCTTAAAAAATACTTGAGATATATTTAAGAAATTCATATTTTATCTACCCATATATGTTAATTTAATTTTAAATTCGTTAAATTACGAGCTTAGTGTCTACTCTTTCAAGTTCGTGTCTATTTAGTTCCTAAACTATGAGATCCCACGTCCGTGAAGACGGGAACTAAGCATTTCTTATAAACATGTGGAAACCTCTCCCTAGTGAACACGTTTTAAGACATGAGGAAAGCTCGAAAAGGAAAACTCAAATATGACAATATCTGCTAATGGTGGGTTTGGGCCATTACATATGGTATCAGACTCATACACTGGACGGACGGTGTGTGCAAGGATGCTAGACCCTCAAGGAGATGGATTACTGAACTTCTGTTTTAAAATTCTCCGAATATTTTAATACGTCCTTACACTTCTATTTTATTAGTATTATTATTATTATTATTCAATAGATATTTGAAATTTCAATTTTATATCAAATAAATTCTTAAACTATTTAACGTTTTTTTAAATTCACCAACTTATTAGATACTAAATTAAAAATTTAGAGTCCCAATACACACGTAAACTAATAATTAAAGGACTAAACTAATAATTTATTCTTTTAAATTTCATATTTTGGGACTATTAACTTTAAATGAGCTTTGTTATTGTTTCATCTATTTTTGTTCATGTTTTTCTTTAATTATATAACTTTTAATTTGATTTGTTGGTGTTTTATTATTGGCTCAATTTTCATCTCTTTTTATTTCTTTTTAAAATTATAATATAGTTTCAATGTTTAGGGACTTATTCGACGTAATAAATAAAAGTTTTAATGATCTATTCTTTTCAAAGTTCGAGGACCAAGTTAACATTAACTCAAAGTTTTGGACTAAACTTTATTCACAAATCACACCAGTTTCTATAATGTTTGACGTTATAATTTTTTATTTTTAAAAATAATTTATATTCCTAGACTCTGAAGAGTGTATCAATTTAAACCCTAAATTTCGTGAATGAATGAATTTGAACTATGGGTAGGAATTAATATTTTATTTTGAATTTAGTGCAAATTGGAAGTTGAGCAATATGCAAATATTGGCATAATTGATTGATTACTTAGTATTAAAATATTATAATTAATTGAATCCATTTTAGTATACTAATTAGTTTGATTTAACTATTATTGATTAATAACAACCCATTATTTCATATTAATATCAATCACTACTTACCAATAATTGTCCTTTTTCAAATTAAATTATCACCTACATTGTTCAAATTAAAATAAATGAACTAAATAAATAAGCTTTAAACCAAAGTTTAAAAAGAAGTATTCTTTCTACGAAAATAATAAAAAATATATATATATATATTTTAAAAATGTATTTTAACTAAATCAATTTTAAAAAATAGGCGACTTTAACACTAATACCATATTTAAAAAATACTTACGAATTTTTAAAAGTAACAAAAATTTTTTGAACGCTCAAGAATATTTTTTTTGGAAGTCAGTATTCTTTAAATATTTTTTAAAGTTTAAATGTATTTTGAACAAATTATTAACGGTTTCTATTTAAAACTGTAATCCTTAATCGACCCACCAAAATAAACATTTTTAAAGACAGCAAAATCTCAGGATTTTCTTTGCTGGCGATGACGTGGAACATGGCTGCATAATGGGAGAACAAATAATAATAATAATAATAATAAAAGGAACAAAAAAAAAACAATAATCATAAGTGGATGGGAATGGGAATCTTGTTGGAAAGCAAAAGCTTCCAACTCATCAAGTTTCGTCAAATCTTATCCACCTTTTTAGCCTTTACCTTCTTTGCACTAGGTTTCGACACGTGTCAACCTCAATCTAGGGTGACATGGCAAGATTCTGATTGACAAAGGCACCTCAATGTCTGTGGATAAAATGGAAAATTACATCCAACGTGGCAAAAGTACACGTGGTTAGCGAAAGTTCCACTCACATTTTCAATTCAAACAAATACCATAGAACAAGTAAGTGGAGAGGGGAAACTTGGTGTACAGACCTGTGCTATTGAACGAGGAAACCAGAGGTTTCACCGCCGGTCATGTCATGGACTTTCTTCTTCTCTCTCATCCAAGTATATTGGATAACCATCAAAACTCCAATCAATCATATTCATCCACACCTGCGTCCGAGAAGTTTCTACACCCTTATAGAGAATGTTTCGTTCTTCTCCCTCAATGGATCTCATAATCTACTCCCTTCAGAGCCCAACATCCTCACTGACACGCCGCCTCATGTCCACCCCCTTCGAGACTCAACCTCCTCACTAACCCATCGCCCGGTGTCTGACTCTGATACCATTTATAATGGTACAAGCTCACAACGGATCTCACAATCCACTCCCTCCAGGACCCAACATCTTCACTGGCATACCGCCTCATGTCCACCCCCTTTGAGGCTCAGCCTCCTCGCTAACCCATCGCCCGGTGTTTGACTCTAATACCATTTATAATAGTACAAACTCACAATGAATCTCACAATCCACTCCCTTCAGAGCCCAACATCCTCGCTGGCATACCACCTCATGTCCACCCCCTTCGAGGCTCAGCCTCTTCGCTAACCCATCGCCCGGTGTCTAACTCTGATACCATTTATAATGGTACAAGCTCGCCGCTAGCAGATATTGTCCTCTCTAGACTTTCCCTTCCAAACTTTCCCTCAAGATTTTTAAAATGCGTTTGCAGGGAAATGTTTCCACACTCTTATAAAAGAGTATCTCTGTTCCCTCTCTAACCAATCCTTTCTTTCAAGGCAATAATTTTCACAGTGAGTGGCGATCAGAAGGTTGGCTATTGTTCTTGTTTCCCAGCTGTGCCCAACTTCCAAGTACCAAATAACATAGGCATCCAAAGCAAGAGGAAATCAAAGTATATATAACATTATTTTTCTTTTCTGGTTGAAAGTTTAAGCTATATGAACTAGTTGTAGAGCAAGTTCAACACAACAAAACAACGAATCATATTGCTCATAACAGCTATGCTCATCTTCAGTACAATAAAATTACTCCCTGAGTAGTGTGTATATTTTCTCTGTTCCTAGACAAGTCCTCGAGCATCGAGCAATCTCAATCTCATCGATAGCGTTGTAAAGACGAGTGGGGTTTTGTTTGAACTAAATTCAGGAACAACTACTCTTGCTGATGAAACAGAGACAAACTGAGGAAGCAATGAATATTGAGAAACAAAAACTAAAATGATCAACTCCATTATCTCGAGAGAAAAGGCTTCACTGATTCTACAACGACCTGTTTCACAAGAAAAAGAAATAACTGAACTGTCATTCTGTAGGATTGTAAAATGGTTTGGTTTACAGACACGGATATCGGCCATAAATGTTGCGGGAAGAGCAAATGAGTAAATGAGCTTCCGTAAACGATCAACCGACTTTGCGTAACAACTTAATCGAGATTTATTTAAAATATAAAACCTCAATTTAAGCAAGCAGAAAAATAGTAAAACGAAATTAGATGACATGATAATCCATGCAGCATATAGCCATGATCTATTGACAGTAAAAAGAAACTGAAATGCAATGTCAAAGCACATGTTCGGCGACTCTTCGAGAAAAGGTTGATGCTACTTACCCTCCCATCATAGGACAGTGATGCAAAGATCCAAGGCTCACGAGAGCTCCAAGCAAGGCCTTTTAATTTGAAATTAAAATCACCCAATCAGTTTTACCCACTGGATAAATATATTGAAATAATAAGGCTACAGCTGTTACCATAAACACTGTCTTCGTAGTCACTGTAAGAATGCAGTAATGGATCAGCTGGACATCGTGGTGAATCAATCGTCCT